AAGAACCGCTTCTCCAATCATGCTTCCAGCTGTCAAGCTGCAGAAAAAGGGGGTAGGACGGAGATCGACACCTTTTCAGTCTCAGGAATTTCGAAAAGTATGTGGGACGTATATATACTCAATAAGCTATGCAATATGGAGTGGTATTTCGGGGCATCCTCATCCAATCACACTACTCGGCTTCCCAGTGAATCGCTCAGGTTCCACACCCACCACCAGCATCCAACAGAATCTGCTAGATCGACGGCGGCTCGACTCCATTCCTGGTCAGCTCGTAGGTTAACTTTATCACAGGTCACCACTGTCCATCAACTAGGGCCACTTTTACCTTCTACCTCGGAAGGATTTTTGACCCTGACAGGTCTCGATCCCGGAACCTCCGGGGGCATTGGTGCGTGCTCTACCAGTCGTGAATGACCTATATGTGTATGTATGTATGTATGTACGTACGTACGCCATCCTCGCCTCCACCTCCTAGCCCCCGATCAATTCTATGAAAAACCACGTACGACATACCTGAGCAGGAACATCAACGGCCACCTTCACCACACTGGAGATGGCGGTGACGGCCGACGTCACCTGAGTCATGCTTACGTTCAGACCCTGCAGCAGACCAGTCTGTACGGAACGTACGACAGTGTCCGAGGTGGCCGTCAGGTTCACGTCCGTCAGCCGTGCCGCCAGGACCTCTACCAGCCGAGCTTGGAGGGCGGCGGTCCGGTCTGTTATTGGGGTGGCGGGGGACCCGGGGGGGGAGGGGGGGGAGGGAAAGGGTGGGGGGGAAAGGGGGGGAAGGGGCGGAAAGGGAGGTGGGGAGGTGGGGAGGGAAAGACGAACCACGAACGAGTGAAGCTGCTGCCAGGGCAAGAGTGCCAGGGAAAGGGTGGAAAGGGGTGGAAAGGGAGGTGGGGAGGGAAAAGGAGGGGGAATGTGGAAATCACATACACACACACACACACACACAACCAAGCCGTGTCGTCAACACACACGTTTCCAAGTACATTTCCCCTCCCCCTTCCGCCGACATACCCGCATTTCCCCCCCCCCCCCATACACACACATGCACAGACTCACTTGCAGGTAGGGCGGCAGCAATGTCGGGCCCCAGGGTGTCGTTGAGCAGCCCGCCCACCACATCGGGGTTGGCGAGGAGGCTGCTGACGTGGGAGGTAGCGGCAGCCGCAACCACCGCCGTCAGGTTTGACGCCAGCGTGTCGACTGTGGCGTTGAAACCCGGTACCTGCGGGGGAATGGGGGGGGATTGGGGGGAGGGCAGCCGGGGTGGGGAAGGAGGAGGAGCTGTGGGGTGGGGGCCTTGAAAATTTGAATGAGGCACCGCACTAAAAACACAGTACCCCAAACGCTCCCACCACTGGCTCTCATTGGAGCCACACTGTTCGGCTAACCCCCCTGCCGAGTACCGACCATCAGGCTGCCCCTTCCCTCCCCCCC